ATCATAATATTTAATATAATAATAGTTATATAATATAAATAATAATAATAGTTATATAATATATAATATAATGATAGTTATTGAAATGTTTTTTTATCTGCTTGCACAGTCATGTGATATTTAACTTCCAATTTGCTTCAAATTATCTAAATCTTCACCTCGTATTCTGATTTACACAAAACACAGTTTGTTATATATTAAGTGATATATAACTGCTGGAAGTATATTATTATAATATTAAACAAGTAAATTAATATTTAATATTAAACAAGTAAATAAATTTTCAAAAATTGAACTAAAAAATATATTTTGCATATGATTCAGAGAGAGAAAAAGAGAGAGAGAGTATTAATTTATAACCCTTCGTCTGTAGATTTGATCTTCCAGACTTAGTCGAAAATTGCGCATCGACGTTTCTAGAACGTAAGTTTTTTTAAACGCTTATATCTTCAAAACTACCGGAGATTTTTTCAATTTTTTGTATCGACGCAGAATCGTTCAAGCTTTCGATTAAAAAAAAAATTGAATAAATATTGATTTTTTTGCGAAGATATTCGATCTTAAAGTTGCGTGGGCTTCACAGACCTAGTCTACAGTTGTCGTAGATTTTATTTTATGTCTACAGTCGAAGAGTTGATTAATTTGATCAATATATTTAACAAAAAGTGATATACATACACTAAGCTTTATTAATGCTGATGTTAATTTGCACTAATAATGTCTAAACAATGTGCAATTTCACGTGAATAGAATTCAATTAATGTTGACCTTTTATTGTATTTCTTTGTAAGACAAAAAAAAACAAAATACGGTGCAAAATACAATGTAAACAAAAGCAACACTGTTTACAGGTTTATTATCAAACTTAATAATAGATTAAATTGTTAATGTACGGTAGTTTATATTTATATCTGTGTTACGGGGTTTTAAATTTCACTGATATATCCTATATGTAAAAAATCATAACACGTGAAGATTAAGATCATAAAAAATTTACATATCTCATGTGAGATAAGAATTTTAAACCTATTTTTTATTTATATTCTATTTTAATTATATTCTACTCCTTGAAGTTTGAAATTTATTTAAATTTTAACATAACATTTAACTACAATGCGTTTGAATATTTTCGTCCAAGTTCTTTAAAAATCGTTCCTAATAAAGAATTCCTAATACAGAACGCTCGTTTCGTAACAAGTAAAAGTGACAATGAAAATGTTAATTTCAAAGACTTAACGCTCGTGAAATTGTCAACAGGAAATATATAAGGCCTATACGAGCCATTCGCAGGATATTTGTGCGGAAACTATGCGTGTACATATATATATGTACATATACATGTAACGAATTTTACTTGTAAATTTTTACAAGTATTTTTTGAATTGAAATCTCAATTCTTAAAATTTACAAATAAAATTCGTGAACAAACATCCTGCGAATGGCTCGTATTGACCTTATATATTTCCTGTTGAAAATGTTAATATCGAGCACAATGGAAAATTACATATACTTATTTAACAAAATTACATAAATACGCAAAAATTACGCGAAACGTTTCGAGCTCTTGTCTTTATCGGTCGTAAAAAAAAATCGAAAATATAAAGACAAAAGAAATAGAAAGATTGCAATAACGTGAACAATAAAAGCGCAAGATGTTGTAATCGGATTTTGTGTCCGTCATCGGTTACAGCGAAAGAACGTCCAATCTTCTATCATAAAAAAGAGAGTCATACGTTATTTGTCAGCTTCATAGAAGTCAAACTGGTAAAAAAAGCCGATCTAAGTTTTCCAAGCGCGAGCACATGTCTCTTGTTTGTTAATTAAAATAATAAAAATATTCAACTGATAGAAGTCAAAACATCGATGTACAAGAGATTTAAATATCGCAGTCCCTTTTTATTTCTTTTGTCTTTATATTTTCAATTTTTGGCGATCGATGAAGACTCAAGAGTTCGAAACGTTTCTCGTAATTATATAATTTTTGTATTCACTTAATTCTTTTAAATATATGTAATTTCTTGTTTTGATATTGACCTTTCCGTGCCTTCTAATTTGATATTTAACTTTCTACGTGACAAGTGAAAATAATATGTGATGCAATATGTTTTTTTTTTAACCGGTATTCACGGATCTTACATTTACGATCATCTTACGTTCATCTGTTTGGCGAGTACTCCGTAGCCGTTTCAAGTTCATATGCAATTATTATCAAGATGCACGTGTCTCGCGCCAAGTTCACGCGCAGCGACCGTATATAACTCAAGCAAGTCGAAAAACACTTTAACAGAATTGAAAGATTTTCATATTTCAGCAACTGACCGAACCGATCGAGACTTCTCTTTATTTTCAATCGATTCTATATTTGACATTTTATATTTACATGTGCGTGTCAAGTTATTTAGATTGAAAATAAAATTGTATTTAATATTTTTTTCGCAATGTAACACGTTTGCTATCACCAATGAGTTTAAAGAGAAATCTTTGCACTACAGACTACGGCCGATATTCGTAGTCGAATTTTATATTTGGGATCGTCTTAAGTTTATCTTTGGATGTTCTGCAAACAATAAAAACTACTCGTACATTATCTGAAAATAAACTTAAGACGATTTTAATTATATAAGATTCGACTACGAATACCGACCTACGAGCCTTATTTTTTATTCAATATATACCGCAGTTCTCACTAACAAGCGTATACTGAAACAAGCTTGTCAGTTGTACCGTTCATTTGTTTGCAAGCTTATCTGTTAACTTGAGACTTCATTTGCTCACATATAATTATAAAATGAAAAATCATTACTGTCACTTCACTGTGTGAAGCTCGAGTTCTTAAAATAGGCGCGTCACATATACACAATACATACATGACGCTGATATAACAAATGTGTTAATATTGTATAATAAACGTTGCAAGACAACATAGGAAATGTGATAAAACTGTTCTAACGTTAATGAATAAGAAAAAACTATATGTTGTAGTTGCTTGTTTGGGGCTTTCTATAAATAATCTCTTAATTTCTACATACAAAATATTAAAAACAAAAGTTCAGCTTTGTATCGAGGATCAAGATTGCTTTGTATAGAAACATATACGAGTGGCGCATGTACTTGGCGCTTTTGTTATCTTTTTCTGTTTACGCGCGATATGTATCGAAACGTTATTGCAAGCGGATTACAAGCTTGGTATCACGAGACGCGATCTTTGGAATTTCGTAACAGGTGATGCAACTGTGAGACATTTTTACATAAACAAAAACGTGGTAAACAATGAAAATAAATTTGGAGAAATAATTTCTTCGAGTTTTACAAAGCAACTCAAAATAAATAAGTTTAAAAAATTAGATAGGAAATTTTTTATGTTATTAATATACCAAAGAGAAGAGAAGAAAGATCGGACTCGTCAAAAGAGACTGCAACAATATAAAATTAAACATTCTTCATTTGTTATTTTTATCAAAATAAAAATTGCGCAATCTAAATGAATGATTTGAAAAGAATCAGATATGAAATTTTGTATATTGTTTAATATAATCATAATTAATGAATTTTTTTAAATCACTCAGATTGAGCGCTTTTTATATTTCGATAATTATTTTGATAATAACGATAAATGAAGAATGTTTAATTTTATATTGTTGTTTTTTCACGAGTCCGATTTTTCTTCTTTTGATTTTTCACGTAACTTTTATATATTCATTTTTTTTCTTTCACGAGTAAAAGTTATGTAAAGAGAGATGTTCTCATCTTACGCTCGGCCACCTGTTCGTACGAGCGCAATTCACGCACCAATAGTACCCTCTAATAGGACAAGATTATAATAAATTAACGACGAATTCTCATATTGACTGATTGACCGCGGCTGTGCGACCTCCCGCCTCGTCAACGCGTTGTGTGTGAGCACCGGTTGATCTTTCTTGTCACGCCGTGCGAACCTCGGAGGACGAGCGAGGTTAATTAGTTCAAAGAGCTTCCCAATTGTGACGTGACAATGTTACGTCTGGAGGAGACGATCTCTTTTAACACTCCGAGACAATCCGAACGCTCGAACACGCAATCGTGTCTCTCTCTCTCTCTTTCTTTTTCTGTCTCTTGTCCTATTTGAAGTAATTGAATTTTATATAGCATATTATTTTCTAGCCGAGCTTATTTTCTTATGTTACATGTAATTGATCGCAAACAATAGCAATCACAATATCGCTAAGTGGTAATTTTGGCATTGTGATCGTTTGCGTATTTTGCAATACAATCAAAAGAAAAGTTTTCATTTTGTTTTTCTTTTTATTCACCTGCTTTTATTCATCCTTATCATAATTTTTTTTACTTGACTATAAGAGAAATATTAACAATTTTTTTTAATTTATTTTTTTTTTTGTAAATTTGTTTTTTTATTCGACTCTTCAGACTGTAATGTGCTTCTTGCCAGTTTTTTCAGTTATTATCTAATATCTTTAGAGCCAATTCCTTAATCAACGTTCGCTCAGAAAAATAAGAAGTTGCATATCTCTCTCATATGTTTTTTGATTTATTGTTATGATCATATAATGATTTTTTTGCTACAATTAAATAGAACTGTGTTCGGCAGAATTCAGTGCTTAGTAAAGCGCTTTGCATTTTTTATCTGTAATTGGTTTCTTTTTATAAATCTATTGCAAATATAAAAACTATATCCCAAGAGCAAGCAATAATCGCTTCTTGAAACGTTGGTTCTGCTGAACGCCATTATATATTGACAATAATTTGCTAACAATCATGCTAACAACCTACAATATTAATTCCGCGCGAGTAAAACATTCGGGTCACACGCACTCCTCAGATAAAATTATTGTTTATATTGCCGTAATTAATTTAATTTATTATTTAATTAATTATTTAAATAATAAATTTCTACGCCATATGTACTTCTTTGACTTCAGCGCAGTTATTCGCAAAAGTCACATAATTATTATTTGGACAATTTGTACGTTTCAATCGAGGTATTCGAGGTGTGAATTTCATTGCGCGTGCGCGTAGAATCACGATGCTTATCTAGGTCTAACTTAAGGCCGGCTACATAACGAAAATAGTGAGACTCGAGACGCAAGCGAAGTGCCAATCAGAGACACGATTGTTATCGGGACAGTTCGAGCGCGCTCAACTGCGATTGGTCATATCGCGTATCGCTCAAACGCTTAATTCTTCCTTGATGTTTTCTTGTACGTCATAACTTAATTACGCATATACGTAACATGCACTACTAGGGTTAGAGTAGGTGATGTTATCACTTATAAGCGACACATCTTTTCGCGGTTGTTTGTCCACGCAGGATGGTGTTCTCGTTCACAGGACATGCACACAGTAGTGTTATATATAGAGAAAAGAAGTGTTGCATCAGCCATACCGGTTGGATGTGCGTAGTTACGCTTAGATATTTTTGGACAATTCTCGGTGTTTTTACACCGACTTTTTCGGTTTATCATTAATTTTAACGAACGTACAACTCCGTGGCTTGTACCCAAACCACGGTTTAGGACCTGTGTCACGATTTTTAAAGACTTAGAATGGCGTATGGACTAGCTTGAAACGGTCCTTTGAGCCATATATGCACCAAACCAAACCATCTCGTTCACAGGATTACCGTCCTTGAAACGATTGTTGTTGCTCCTTCTGCAATGCTCGTTATGTAAGTTGTTGAAAAAAATTTTCGCCAATTATCGTGACATTTCGAGAGATCGCGAATCTGCACATTAAAGTAATGGGAAATGTGCAAAATTCGTAGCAACAATACTTTTTATACTAAAAAAATACTCGCGTATATAAACAGCAGAAACATTTTGTTATTTTATTAGAGTTTTATTTTAATTTTAATTTTAATTTTATTTTTATACGAGATCTCTCGTAATATTAAAAGAAAATTGTCGATCAGACTAGCAAAATGGATAAAGTTTGTTTTTTTAAATTTAAACAAATTAAAATAGTTTTAAACAACAGTAGGTCAGATATTCTTCTTTTTTTCTCTATCTCTTTATAAATTTTTATACTTTAAGACTTTATTTTAAAACTTTATATTAAAACTTTTTATACTTTTAAATTCGTAAAATTATAAATTAAAATGTGTTGATTCGAAGTCGACTTAAAGCAGTCGGAAGTTATTCTCGTATAATTGTACATGCTTGAGGCAATTTAATGACTGGTTTTTGGAATGTAATTATTAAAGATCAGAAATCACTAGCCTTCCATTTTCCTTATCCTGGAATATCGAATTGTACATTGTTACTGCGTGCGCTGCGAAGTTTGATCATTTTCTCGTTATTTGTCACAAGTTGTGGTCGCGATCTCCGCTAGCTTTTAATTCTCTCTCACGGATTTTACGCCGTTACGTGAGTAATGCGTCTTTCATTTAAATGTTACGCGATTTTTCATCTAAATATTGTACGAGTACAAAAGTTTTGATAGATTTACTTATTTTATCAAATGCAACAGCAAAAGATAATTAAAAAAATAGAAATTATTTGGTAAAATGAATTTTTTAAATAAAATTTATACTTGGTGCATTTTTTTTATTACGAAATCTATCAAAATTTTTGCACTCATTTAAAAATTTATATAATTAAATAAATTACATAAATTAATAATAATAATAATAAAAATAATAATATAAATATTATATATAAATTGATAATGTATAAATTATATATATATTAGGTAAGTTATATAATTACTATATTATAATTAATATTAAATTAAATTTGATTGGTTGATTTTAAAATTTTTTCCTGTCTAGTGCTACAAAGAATCTCTTTAAAAAAATATATAATAATTAAGAAATGTATATATTGATTGACACGTCTTTATTTTTTTTTAGGTCGTCGTGCAATGCTGAGCAAATTCTGGTGCCAAGAAATCGGCCGGAAATGGCGACAAGCGAGTAGACAACAGCCGCCGCCGGTTTGTCTGCTGACGGAACCGAAATGTCAGCCGCACGTAGCAGTCTGGTATCTGTTTTATCGCTGGGTTATTTTCTTCGTGTGGTCCAGTCTGCTTGTCTGCTCCGTGTTCGAGTTTGGTAGCTACAATCCGATGCTGGCGTACGACAAGTGGCCCATCTACCTGACTAATTGGGACATGGCGTTGGGCTTCGTGCAGGCATTCATCGGCGGTATGCTCGTGTCGAAGCGATGGCGACTGCAAAAAATATCCGGCTTCGATCCGAGCAGTCTCAAATGGGAATTCACCGAGCGCGTATATTGGTTTTTGTACGTTGTCACGACCAATCTAGCTATTGGCGTGACGATGTGCTACTGGTTCACGGTGTACAATCCGGAGATCCATCAGCTGGATCCGCTCAACATTATGGTGCACGTGTGCAACAGCGTGCTGGTGCTAGTCGATCTGTTTGTTACTAGCATACCGTTTCGTTTGTGGAACTTCTGGTGGTGCTTGTCGATCGCGATACTCTACGTGATTTTCACTGCGATTTATTATGTGGCCGGTGGTCTCGACAAGCTCGGTCTTCATTACATCTACAAAGTGCTCGATTGGAAGCGGCCGGCGCGAACGTCGCTCGTCTCCGTCGGTGGTTGCACGTTTATCATGGTGCTCCACTGTGTCTCGTGTGTGCTGGCGGATATAAGAAATCGTATTTACAACAAAATTACGCGGAAGTCTAGTCAATTCGCGCGAACGAATGACAATCCGCTCTCGGACAAAGGAACTAGTTTACCTGTTGCTGGTTTAACAGAAGTTTAAACTAGACCACAATTATCTCCTTCGCATTTGCCTGCTTTCATCATTTGTCTTATCTGGATGCACGGACGGATTCGAGGCGTTGGAGCAACAGCTGGCAAGGAAAAAAGAAGCGTGCCTTGTAGTTGACGTAATTAACGCCTCCAAGTATTTTTTTTCGAAGAAAGCGATCATTGTGCTCACTTAGCTTGCTCGTGCAATACGAAGTATTAGTAGAATATATTGGTAGAATATTAAGCAATATGTGAAGTATTAGTAGAATATTACCTAATCGTATTCAAAGATCGTATTCACACATCTTCGTTATAGTACTTGAATTTTTTAATAGTGATATTTATTTAGCGGGAAGACAGAGATTTTATTAGTGTTAGGTAACGTGATTGGTATGCAAAAAATCAAAAAGACAACATTTCAATTTCACCAAGAGACAAAGTACTAGGAAATATTTTCGTTTTCCATAAAACGTTTGCTGCCTGTCTCGCTAAGAAAGAAAACATGAATCGCAAATCGATTTCGAGATGTGTCGATTTAAAAATATTAATATATTTGCGTATCTCTCTCCTATTAATTTAAATTAATTTTAATGCGATACCTATTTTGTAGCTAATATTTTGAAATATTTGATAAAACACAAAAATTATTATCTAAGCGGTGTCACTCCGATTTTTAAAACATATAAGGATTATCGTTCATGTTAATTCGTTGTAATTTTTGCATATTTTTGTTCTTTTGTTTCTATCGGGTTGAACGTTCGTAGCATTTTTCAACATACTTTTTAGATTATTATAGATGGAAACATGTTCGAGACATGTTTACGAGACATGTATATGAGACCATAATATAAGCATTTACAGAAGCTAATTTATGTGAATACGATAAACCTTCAAATTTCATTTAAAAAAACGCTACATATTAATCGAGACTTCCGTTTCCGGCAGCATTAATGTAAAATCGTTGGTGACAGAGCGGAATTAGAGCGCAAAACTATAAAGTGTTTAAAAGTGAGAGAAAGGTGTGCGTATGAGTAGTGGCGAGTGCTGGTGGAGTTGCGTGCGAGAGGGTGTGAGTGGAGGATACGCGAGAGAGCAAGGGGTGTAAGATCTGGCCTTCTACAATAAGATATTAGTAGCAAGCAAAAAATTGACCAATCATATGTGAGAGGTGAGAGAAGAATGAGAGGAAGAATAGAAGGAGAAGGGAGCGAATGAATAAAAGAGGGATGTAAATTTGTGTTCTGGCGGAAACGGAGGTCCACGGACAGGGATTAGAGCGATGTGTGTGTGCGGATAGGGTTAGATGAATATGTAAGTTAGTAATAAATTTTAGCGTTTAAGTTTGCGGTAAAATAGTTATAAGTTAATGTTAAGATTTGTGATAAGAATTGTGGGGTGTAAAATATTGTAATCCTAAGGGAAATTAATTAATAACAATACTACTACTACTACTATTAATCGAGACAACTTACAAATTAAATTGTGTACCCCCACAACGCGTGCGCATATTTTGAGCGTACTCGTTAGAAATTCTATCAAATCAAAAAAAAAAAAAAAAATTATCATTAATTAAAATGTAATCTTACAAATTGTGCATCATATTATAAGAAAATCTGAATGCACACACGTACGAGTGCGCATACATTATGGGATAATAATGTAACTAAATATCTTATTTTGTTTAAAAGAAAAAGAAATGAAAGCGTTTAGAGAGCTCAATGTTCGTTTGTACGCATGAGCGTCCGCAGAATTTTTTTTCAGGACAGGGCGGAACAATTTTTCCGTCTCAAAAATTATGAATGTGACGGAAAGATTTTACTGTAAGAGAGTTTTCACGAATAGATGTATGATTTAATTTGTTAACCAGTGATTTCAAACTTGGTTCAAGATAAAAGACACAATTTGTGAAAAAACTTGTCTCTCCAGGGTTTGCCCCCCTCTCTGCGGACGCTCATGTTTGTATGTTTCGTTATAAATGAGAGTTCCTATTTAGATAATATAGATCTGCGAGATTTTGTTGTTGTTTGAGAATTAAAAGTGATTTCTCAGATGATTTTGTGCGCTGAATCTGGACGCAGAAATTGCATGACACGTTTTTTTTTTTTAATTGAATAAAATGACGGCTTACAAATGACGATTTATGTTTATATTAAAAGTACCGCAGAGAAAGCAAATTATTTTTTAATTCTTACCGTGATAACTTCCATATATAGCAATACTATTCTTTCTCTTTTGAAACCTAGTTTTATTTTATTTCTGCGATTTTGTTTCTAACCGAGAAGATATCAGTTGGAAGTTTATGAACTTGTTTTTAAAAAACACACATAGAAGTTTAGTTCTTTAACAGACATGAAGAACATTGGCACAGATAAACTGAATATATATATTCAAAAGATTTTTGTAGGTTGCGAGATTACGTAAGAGAAACCACCTTTATATTCTCAACAATTTTCAAACACCTTAGTTTGTTCGCAAGCTTGTATAAATGATTGTTGTGTTTTAGGTAACCTAAACTATCTATCTTACGTACGTATATGTATCTATACGTACTTGTTTCTTCTCTAGGCGCTAATTTTAAAAATAATTATAATGTATGTTAGAATGAATATAAATGTGTACATCCATATTAGAACAATTACATTCACAAATGTACATTCCGAATCTTATGGAAAATATAGCAATTAAATATATTGGTTCCTGATAAAATGTGTATAAATAAATATAAATCTCGTGCAAAGCGTGGAAAGATTAAAAAAAAAAAAGTATGTATATTTTAAACTTCGTATATATGTATATATAGAGCGTGTCTGTCATGTTTTGTACACACACGCACACACGCACATTCTCTTATCTACTCTCGTTATAATATTCTATAGCAACTATATTAGCGTAGACATTATTGAACGATATAAATTCACATGTTGTTTTGAAAAAATAAAATTAGATTTCATGTGACGTGCGACGGTGTCGCGGTTGACTTTTTTTGTACATAAACGAACAAGTGCGTGAAAGTGCAAATGCATGTTGAGACATAGCAAGACACATGCGCTGGAATAAAGAGGGATTTTTTTCTGAATTACTTGAAAGCAATTTGGAAACGCGCGGATATATTATATAATTCGGATAGCAATAAAATACACATTTGATTTTTATGAAAAAATATCAACGGTTTATTAATAAAATAACAATTTAAAGCGATTACGGGCCGCAAACGGGTACAAACGAATATCGCGGCCTGAATATTTTATAAATCACAGTTTGTATTAGAATTACTAATTTTTAAAAAAGCTACGTGTGTTTTTAATGTAACAAGAATTGTCGCATCTCTTTCTGTTCAAAGAGAAGAGTGTTACTTCTTTTTGTTTTTTTGTTTTTTTTTTTTGTTTTTTTTTTTCAAGCTATATACTTAAGTAATTATCACTCACATGTTCAGAATGCTCTTTCTATTCTTTGAAAGTTTGTCAAATTGGCGAAAGTCATTCGCGAGAATCGAAGTTATTTCGTCACTCGTGTACGTCACAGAAACAAACAAGCCTATTCGAGACTTCGCGAGTACTACCCAGTACTTTCGAGCGGATTCGAGTCCAGCAACAACACCTGGTACTCCGTTCCCACAGCGTCGTCCTGATAATACATCGATGGCAGTTCCTCCGTGAGCAGTAGGCCCTCGCTCATGTCACTAGACGCATCTAACACAACATCCGACGAGTCCGCCAGCGAGTCCACCACCGCACCTGTTTTCTTCAACTTGGACCAGTCCGAATACGTTAGATCTGTTCTTGCCGACCTCTGGTCCTTCTTAATTAGCACGGTATCTTTGTGAATTTGTTTCTCGGCTCGAAGCGGTTCCACGTTCTTCATTAAGTTGTTGAAGGGTGGCGGTTCTGGTTCCGGCAAGCAACAATCCGACGAGGTGCCGAGAATCACGGCGTTGCACGGGGATACCATAACCATCTGCTCCTCTGTAACGGCTGCGGGTGAGCTCGGTGAAGAATGCACCGTGTAAAGAATGTAGTCTATGCCCGCGTTCGGCGGCGAGTTGTTCAACGAATCGTCATCCAATATATCGTGCGCTTTCAACATGTGCTCGCGCAGATTTGTTTCGGTTGCGCTCAAATGCCCGCACATTTCTATCGGACAACGATGAAACCACTTCAGTTGATCTTGGTTCTCAAAAGTCGCGTTATCGGGGGTCACATTCAGCTTTTCGACAACGTTCTCCGTCGCGACGTTCTTCGGGACGTTTATCACATTCTTGGACTTTGCTTTTGTCTTGACACTCGATTTTACTTGCGAACCATGTGACTCTTTCGTTCTAGCGCGTTTTAAACCACTGGTGGTACATCCCGTTGTTGTGTTATTGCCAATCATATTCAAGTCCGTTTTGGCTGTTTGCTGATGCTTTTTAATGTGCACATACAGACTGCTTTTGGCGGAAAAACGGGCGTCACACACGAAACACTGAAAGTAACGACCTTCCGTGTGCGTAAGTCGGTGCTCCTTCAAATGCTCCGAGCGCATGAAAGCTTTGCCGCAACCCGGCGTGTCGCATACGAACTTGCGTTCGTTAGTGTGTTTTTTCTGGTGACGTTTGAGCTTGCTGGACGACGAGAACGACCACATGCAGCCGTGAAACGTGCAGTGATATGGTTTGCACCCGGTATGAGAGCGTATGTGGGCCTTTAGACGACACGGTTTGTCGAAAACCTTGCCGCAACCCGGCCACGAGCATTTGATGTCCACCTCTTTGTAGCTGTGAGAACGCTGATGCGAGGTCAACGCGTTGCTGCTGTAGTAACGCTTGCCGCAACCTTCATGCTGGCACACATAGGGCGCGTGACGTTGATCATGCGACTTCATATGCAGCTCCAATGCTCGCTTGGTCTGAAACTTCTCTCCGCATTCCGGCACCTGGCAAACGATTCGATTCGGACGACTGTGCAACTTCTCGTGGCTCCATAGATTGTAGACGGTAGTGAAGCGACGGTTGCAGACCTCGCACACATGATCCTTGCGTTTCAGATGTGTCTCCTTGTGTCTTTTCAGCTTGAATTCGGAATAAAAAGCCCAACCGCATTCTTCGAAGTCGCACTGAAAAATGTCACAGATGAAAGATGATTGTTGCAATAATTCGTGAAAGTAGGATTTAAAAAAAAAACTTGATTTGATGTAAAAATAGATTTTACAGAAGAAGAAAGAGAAGAAGAAAGTGCAGAGAAGAAGCATAAATATTTTTCAACACACCTTAAATGGTCTAACTCCATAGTGAGCTAACAAATGACCTTTCAAAGTGTATAATCTGCCGAACTGCCTGTTGCAACCATCTCGGGGACAAAGCCACACCTTGTCGTGCTCGGTGATGCGTACAGGTTGCAAGCTATCGTCTGTGATACCCAGTTCCTCCAGTGCATTGGATATGACAATTTCATACTGATTGGTCGGAACATTATCAGTACCGTGTTCAACAGTACCATTCCAAGCTGCTGTAGAAGTATCTATTTTAGGTAGATTTGGGAAATTGCCGGTTGCTTTAATTAACTCCGAGGTTTTGCTCTGAATTATCTTCTTCTGCGTGCCATTATTGATGACTATCTGCGTCATGTTGGAGATTTTGTCAGTCGATATGGCAACCACTGTCATCACATTGTCCTGCGAATCCGTGGCGTCAACATTCCCACCATTGATAGGCTTGTCTAACTTTTTCTCCAGTTTCTCCTTCACCTGCCGATGTTTTTTAATGATACGCGGTTCAAATTTTATTCTGGTCTTGGACTTTAATTGCTCTATTATAATATCTTGACTGTCTACTTGTACAGAATTTGTCATAAAATTTGATGAGTCTTCTTTGACTGATTCTAAAGCTTCGACAAAGAGTTCTGAAGAACTTCCCGAAGACTGATCCATAATTTTTTGTTGATTCAAGGTAATTTCCATCTTGTTCGCATTTTCAATATTTATCTTTGTTGTTGATTTTTCGGAATTGTCTTCCAGAATCTCTGTTTTTGAAGCATTTTCCTCAATATCTTGATTCTCTACGTTAATTGTTGACTGACTGCTTGTGGACGGCAGAATCTCGCCAGCTACTATCATGTCGTCGGAGGAAAGTGCTGTCAGCGGATCCAAATGATCCAAATGAAATTCTGGCAGCATAAATTCATCGACAACTTTTTCGCAAGGCGGTTCCAGAAGCCGATTTTCGCTTTGCGACAGATCCTGCAATAAAGAATCATATCCCGTTGACAGATCATGCTTCTTGGTATCAGCCAAATCAATGTCAATCGACAGACCATATGGATCTTTGTTGAAAAAACAGCTATGTCCAAGATCTTCTTCTTCTAAATAACGATCCATACCTTCCAATACTTTGGTTGTGTCTAGATCTATATTTGATGATACCGGAGGTTCTGTGCCGCTTGTCTTGATCCATTTATCAAGATCGGCTATTGTCTCGATGTCAGAACTCTTGCCACTGCTTGTTTGATGCCAATTCTCATTTTTTCTGATTCTTTTGTCCTTTTCGTCATCCTCCTCTGTCTCGGACGAGACTGAACCCTGATTGTAAAAGCTGCCACGTAAGACATTTCGCCATCTGGATCCGTAGAGTCCAACAAACGGGCTGGAGGGATGATCTGCCGTTCTGGTGGTGGTGGCAATTCTTTTCGAAAACATTGGTGATCCGACCGGTAATCAGCACTGTAGAAAAGTTTCACGTTGAAGAAGCTGAATGAGAGGAACATTCGACGGATCATTATTTTTCTATTTTCGTGTATGAAGCTTTGCTCCAGGAATCCGCAAAACTGCGTTCCGCGGCGCGTGTAATTCTTGTTGGAGAGCGATGTGTCCCATTTTCTCGTCACGCGTTGTACAGGTGCGGGATCTGTGATTTTCGGCGCTAGGTATTATCGTACACGCGTGTTCAGCTCGCACGCACACACGTGTCAAATCAGAGTTTCTCTCCTCTGATCTCACAGCGCGTACTCACGCGGTACGCGGATGTATCCGACGATCACATACGACGATGCGAGCCTGCAAAACCAACATAACCTTTTACCATTTAATGCCGTTGTGTCAGACAGATGGACCGAGAAAAAACAGACAGAGCCTGCTAGTGGAATACGATATATCGGATCAATAAAGTGGAGTTTTGTCCGATCAGAGAGAGAGACCAGTTAGCGGGCGATATAACAACGCGATCGAAAGATCATTCTTTCTTCGCTTGCTCGCGATCGCGAATAGAAGAAGTACGCGTACCCGTGCGCCCGCGTATTTCTTTTTTATTGATAACAAAAAAAGCATGGAAATTTTTGTCAAACGATTATTTGCAAATGCGGTTATTATAACTGATTGTCACAAACGTACGGTACCACTTTGAATTGACGACGAAACGTTCGTCGGATGCCGTAAAGTCGGATCCGCAATGGCGGCTGCGTTTCAAGAGCGGAACAAGAGCTCTGGTTTTTGTCAACAAGTCGAATGTGATTGGGTGTTTACTTTTTAAGAATCAACTGATCAACACTGTCGAGTGTTGACAAGAGAGAGATGTGTGTTCCGTTTCGCACGCATACGCGCGCATTTTTGTCTATATTACACGTGACGTGTACTATGGATAATAAAAACGCGCGCGTGAAAAACGGAACGCAGCCAAGATGTAACTTGGCAATTGTGTTCAAGCCGAACACATCGGCCAATAACAAAAAGATCGCAACGACGGTCTTACAAAAGGCGATTTTTGGCGATCGTATAGTACATATACCAAAGTGTACCAAACTATAATTTGAAGTCACTCAAACTATAGTTTGGTACAGTTTGGTATATGTACCATACGATCGCCAAAAATCGCCTAAAATTGACCCAATCGTATCGGTCTAATCGGCAAACAAAGCGTCGATACAAAAATTTGACGTAACCAAAACCCACGTGGTTGGCCAGACTGTCATCGTTGAACACAATGGCGCAGAATATAAAACACCATAATGGCGTGCTCCTGCGGTAGAGTTACTTAAACTTATATGGGAATTGCTCTCGAACTCGGTGAAAACAAAAAAAAAAATTCACACAATACACACACAACATTGAGTCGAGAACAAGCTCAGATGCCGAAGAAACTGCTGGCGAAGGACAGTTCGATGCGTTGTGAAAAAACAATTTGTCCGTCGCCGGAAGAGCTGAGCGTGATAACCAACAACGTCAAATGCGAGCAATGCGGTCTCGTCTTCAGCAACGAGCCGCGCTATCGGCTTCACGATCTCAAGGTACATCAGAACAAAAAGTTGGACAAAATCGCGAAGGAGAATGTGCGCTATCACTGTCCGATGCAGTCGTGCGTCTACGCTCTAAACTCGCAGAGATATTTCAACACCATGAAGTATCTTAAGCAGGTGTGTTTAACATAAAACGGACGGAGATCTTAACGTACCTCTAGTTTGCGACAACATTTTGTCGAACTGCTGAAGTAAAATTTTTTGTTTTCCAGCATTATTTGAAAGTGCACGCCGAGAAAAATTACAAATGCGATTGTTGCAATGACAAAAGTTTCTCCACGGCGTCCGCCAAGGAGGCGCACATGAGAATCTGCGGCACAAAATTCACATGTTCCTGCTCGAAGTCTTACAACACTTACGAGGCGTTGCTCACACACGCGAAACGATCTCTGCACACTATAACAGAAAAATATAAGAATTACTTGAGGTATATTTTTTGTCATCGCACACACAGAATAATTGTTGTATTAAGTGATCACCACAAAAAAAGTTTCACCAAATTATTCTTTTAAGTTTACACATGATTGTTTTGAAATGACTCGTGATCTTTATGCAGACGTACTAACTGCAAAACGATGAAGCTCGTCCTGTCAACCGGAATTCTGAATAAACCCGTCACGATATTGCCCAATAATTTGAACAAATCCGCAAAAAACAACGAACACGTTAATTCCGCGCCAAAGAGCACGTCTGACATTGGCGTGCAGACGGACGATTACAGAAAGAACAAGAAGCCGTTGAAGCTGTTGAAGCTCAATTGCAATTCGAAACGTCGAATATCGAAGCAGACCCAGACCAACAATTCTCTTAAAGAAAAGACTTGTGGAAAATCGATGGAAACGCAAACGTTGCAAGTGATCGAAGGACCGTCGAAAACGCAACGTACGAAATGCGCGACGGAAAAGAGAGACGAGCTGTCGAAACAATCGAAACACACGTTGCTCACGGAAGACGTAAATCTCAACAACAATTTCACGTCGGCCAATTTGTTCTCGACCAGTCCGTTGCCGCTCCGACACGACGTGGGTTTGCAAGATTTTTGGGAGGACAAGAACACGTCGAGCACCCAGACACTACCTGAGAAGGATATATTTGAAGCGTTTAACGACAACGTTACGCAAACGGAATTCGAAACGCTCTACGAGCACAGTCATAATCCTTTGATACAATGCGTGCCGAAAAGCTCGGTCGCTCTGATGACGCTTCCGTACGTCGAGGACACATCCGCGGTCGAAGGTTATTCTTTCACCTCGACAGACGGCATGTCTCAGGCAGATCCGATACTGACCGCAAGCAAAACGTTCGACGACAGATTCAGCAGCATAGAAACGCAAACCGAACAAGCGTTCTCGCCCTCGTACTTTTATTCCGAATCGTTGTCGAGATCGTTCGCTCTGAGCTCGACTATAGAGACGCAAACCACAGACAATTTAGACAACATGGAGGAATTGTATAGCAACACGTGCACACAGACCTGCAACGAGATTCTGTCTTCCGATCTCGGTCTGACCGACATACAAACTCAGACCGCTTGGTCGCACGACATCGCGGTCTCCACCGAAACGCAAACCAAGTCTCTGATCTGCAACAATGATTGTAACATTCCCATGGTGACGTGTAAATCCTGGATGAACACACAAACGAATCACACCGAGACGCAAACTGATTTACTCAGTATTTTCGAAGAATTTTAACAGGCGAAACCTGGTCCATGTACTGTGATTGACTTGTTGTTTACCTTCCTTGTTTTGGCATTTAATTTTTGTTTTTTTTTACTACATATATATTTATTATATATTATATATTATATATATACATATATACATAGAAGTCATTTTTGTTAGAACGGCTGTCGCGGAGCCAATGACAAAACACGTTTATTTATATATATATACATATATATATATATAAACATGTTTTGTTAATGGCTCCGCGACAGCCGTTCTCTAACAAAAATGACTTCTATAATTTATGAAATAATTCACAAATAAATTTTTAATTTCATCTCGAAAATAGCGCTAGACTATTTATTATATATCGAGATATTCACATTATATATGTATATAAAAAATGTAATGCATATCTTCCTGTTGATGTTCCAATATAACCAACTTCGATGAATATGATCAGTGTATTTGCAAATGGGACGTTCAAAAAAAATTGTACATTAGTACAAGTGTATATAGTTTGTTTTTAGAAAAAGGAGGTGTCTTTAAAGAGACAGAGAGAGAGAGAGAAAGAGACTTAAACGAGGTTTATTTTTTTTATCGTTGCTCAGAGATTGTTTTTTAGATCTTGTTGATTTGGACTCTCTCGTCTTAACTGAAAATATCTTTGTTTGTTATTGCAAAAGTCGACAGATGACAGATTTAATGAGTTTAGGGTGTCAGATACACTTGGTGTCAGCCATTCGACTCTTGAGAGTGCTTTTTATTCGCTCCATCCTGGATCTTAGGCAATCCTTTTTTTTTTTTTTTTTTACAAATTTTCAGTTCAAAAGATAAAAGGAGATAATTGTTTTTTTTTTCGATATACCTTGTGTACACATATTTTCATACATTGACGTGATCTATAAGTTAAATTAAAAAATTTGTAGAGAGAAAATTCACGGACATCGGATTAAATATATATATGTATATATATATATATATATCTGTGTGTTGTGTTGTGTTTTGTAAATCTATTTTAAAGCCTTATGTATACACGCTGTACAGATCCTGGATCTCTTCCTTGTCAAAAAATATAATTCTGACCTACATCGTGTGTTGGGTAATCAACGCGAGCAATCATTCTTTACGTCTGCCAAACTTTGCGAAATCACGCGACAGAGTCCGCAGACATTTAACTCTTTTGCCATTTGTGCGCTTTGATTTAAAAAAAAAAGAAAAGAAAAGAAAAAAAACATGCATCATCAATTGATTATCGATTACTTTTTTTTATGTTCTCGGGGAAATTTCTGGAAAAATAGACTGTTATATGGATCGATATTAATTTGATTGCATAGACGGATATATATGTGCGAATTTCGCAAATTGATTTTGAGGTCACACACACACACATACACGTTTACAACATATGTGAGACAACTTTCCTCGCTATAAATAGATTTATGATATATATATGTACACACACACACACACAAATTAACTCTTATATCTCCACGTGTAAATACGTTAATGATAATGCACGTTCACTTGTTCACAAATATATTTTTTTAACAATTAATTTATCAGTTTTTCTCGCAAAGCAGATAAATCAAGTTGTTGTTAAATGTAACTAACTATGTAACTAACAAAATTTTTATTATTGCAAAAGTGTCTAAGACTCTGATAATATCTTTGTTTTTTAATCAAAGATAATTTGTGACCTTAAGGTGTGCAGAGGGAGAGAGAAGAGAGGATCGCTATTTCTTCTTCCCGGAGATACACAATTGCACTACTGGAAATTATATCTCTAATCGAGAAAAGTTGCATATTTTTGGCGTATGTGTGTGTGTAGGGGAAGGAGAAAGAGAAAGAGAGAAAAAAATATGTATGTATGTATATATATATATATATATAAGCTTCATTATACTGCAGGACCAGCAGCATTGTCCTCGTCGGAATCGAGTAAAAAGTCTTTGGTCCAGTCTTCTATCCTGTCTACGTTTTCGAGGGTCGATGCAAGGACTCTCAGATTGTCCACGCCAGACATCAATTGTCTGTAAAAAGTTAATAACAAAATATAAGTACAAGGCGCGACAATAAGTTCGGATAAGTTGTGCGCATCTTTGTAGAGTCCACAATGCGGATTAACACTTTGAATATTTCCAAAAAAAACTTGAGGGCGTGTTAGTAAATTATTAAGTAAACTCTTCACCTGAGAGACACCTCGGCCGACGATGCTGCTGCAAATAAATCGCGAGCGAGTCTTCTGACTGTGCGATTCATATTAGCGTTTATCTCTCTCTGGTCAGCCACTTCCATAGTAGCTCTAAGTTCTATGTTTTCTAGTCGTAGCAAAGATATTTCTGTCTGAATTAATTGAGTCATGATCAATATATTAGTTTTTTTCTTCATATCCTATCGCTCTAATTTAATTCATATGTACAAGATACTAACCGTTAAAGTCTTTATCTTTTTCTTTAATGACATAACAGTACACTCGGCATTGGCCGCTCGCTTCTGCAAAAAAAAAAAAAAACAATAAAACTGGCATATTGTATTTTTTACTGAGAGATAAAATTTGTTGTGTTTTTTCGTACTTACAGTACTTTGTTTCAAGTTATCCTCGACTTCTTCCATTGCTTTTTCCAGATTCGCCGTTTCTTCGTGCACAATTTCCCTTTTAGACAGCAGTTCCGCTTCTAGCGAACGAATTCTGCAATTAACACATTACATGTCGATGATGCAAATAATCGGAGCAATGTAACGCAAACATGTGGTTTTGACAATTTGTAATTACTTTTCCGTTTTTTCATTAATTTCTCTCCTGGCTACATCCAATTGATAACGTAACCTTTCATTTTCAAGTAAAAGCTGCAACATATGATTAGGTTTTTTTTTTTTTAATATGTCTCTTAATTTCTCATTTGTTTTAAATCGCTTCGGAATCGCGACAATCTTACCCTTCTCTCCGCGGACTCCGTCATGTTCGCGATAGGTTCCGGATCTGTAGATTTATTATGTATAGGACCGTCGTTTAAAAAGTCCGGTAGAGATTTGTGCACACTTGTGTCACTTCCTGGAAGACCGTTCTGCGCATTTGTATTGGAATTGGATTGAGAAACAGGTAATGGTAAGTCGAATGGAAATCCTGCAAGAATATTCATTCCCGTTAGTCGGTGCAAACAGTAGAAATCTTAGTAGAAATAATATAATACAAATGTGACAATGGAAGATTTTCAAAAAACCTCTGCTCTCAGGAGGAGTAAGAATAGCCCCGGCTTCATCGAGTCTATTCTCAAATGTAGGCAAATCCAAGTGATTCAAATGTGATATATTCGATATGGTATTGTCTCTGTGCGACAAATCCTGATTCAGCGTACCGGTTAGGTCGACTGATCTCAGCTTGTCACACAAATCGGAGTTATTTCCCTTGATTTCATTCTGCATTCTGGACTGTCTTTTTCTTGTTTTTCTTCTCTGTTCCATACTATTCAATGCAAAGTCGGGTAGATTATCCACATCGGGCAATATAGGCTGAGCAGTCTCTTGATTCAGATAACACTGCTCTATGACCAGATGATCTTGCACAAAATCTGGCAGCTCTGTCGGATTGCGATTGGAATAAATGTTTCCGCTGATACTGTCCCTGTCGTTGTTTGTATTTGACACAGGGGATGAGTAAACTTTGGGCCTAGCCCCTGTATTGTGATAATTTGTTTGTTGCATGCCGTTCTTCAAAAAGTCCTTGAAACTGAAGGAATTATTGTCACGATGCAACGCGTCCAAATCTAATTGAGAATTGCGGAGTTGTCAATCACATTTGCGGCAATGTAAAAAAATGTACAACAATACACATAACAAATGGCAATAAACATAACATGCGATAATAGAATGAATTTTGTAACCTGTTGCCTGCTTGGGTTTTCTGAGCCGCCGATTGCACGGGTGCCGGGAATGAGAGCTGGTCAATTTTTCTTCGTCGGATGACGAACAAGAAGACAAGAGGACGGCGTTGTCCGTTGGCGTCGGAGGATGTCTGCACGACGAACCGCAACAAGCGACGGATTCCGTCTTTTCCTCATCATCGGACGAGGGCCACAAGTGGCGTTTTGGCAGGGACGATTGACGACACGACTCGTCGTTTGTTTTCCGACTCGCCATGATTTTCTTCCGACTCTACGTTCGACTCATTCGCCGCTGGTGACGATGGCAACCTCGCCAAGGACGAAGATATATGGAAAAACGCGTTTTGTTTGACGTCTGTCACTGGTTACTTACACTATTGCACCTGCGAATACGTGAATACTGGTGACCACCGTTGATCACAGTTGATCATCGTCAGGTGAGGTAAGGTTGGCTTATCCTCGAACGTTTATTTCGTTTATTTCTTCTTAAGAAAGATGGCCGCAGCTATACGCGTATACATATGCGCTACAAATACATGCGTTAGATGCGTTTACTACCGTATGACAGTCAATATATGTATGTAAAGCTTGTGTTACACCAAGCGTGTAGGAACGCGCAAACAATCCAGCGAGCACAAAAAAGCATCGCTGGCTTAACCTTTAGAGAGCCGGCGTGTTTTCCTTGAAATCTCGTATATATATAAAAATAAAGTTCTGCAGCCATAGTATTCAAAACTTGTACACGTATATATAAACGTCTCGTATCAAGTATTATCGTACAGATTCAGAGCCGTTAGGCTAGACCGGTTCTCCAAAGATTAAATGAGATTGAACCATCAGTACAGAGCAATTGTCATTAAAATTGATAAATGTTGCTACTCGATCAATATTACGATTGGTCACTTTTGCGGGTAATATAGCGCTACAAATGCTTTGAAGTGTCTCTTTGATGCAGGCGCTGCAGTTATGATCTCGATTATCTCGAGAGTTGCTGTGATAGATCTTCTTATATTCTTATATTGTCAGGAGAGGAAAGAATAGAGAACCCGATGAGAGCAAAGAAATCTACAAAATGTTTATTTTTGTGAAACCAATATTATGCATGATCATCAGCACGGTCTTTGTCTTGTATCTTCATTTTGCATATATTATAGATACGTATTTTCAATGGTTTTTTGACGATGTCAAAGATATGCAACAATACGATTACATCGTTGGTAAGTTGTGCACCTAATAATTAGGAGAATTAGATTAGAATCTGGAAGAATTGAAAGATTGGCTTGTAATTTGATTGCCTATGTATAAATTTGATTATTTTTTTTTTTTTGTTTAGTTGGCGCTGGCACTGCTGGTTCACTTTTAGCGTCTCGTGTAGCAGAAGATAATCACAGTATATTATTGTTAGAAGCAGGTGGTACTGCACCATATTTCCTTGATATACCACTTCTGACACCAATGATTCAAAAGTCTGTTTACGACTGGCAATATCTCACTGTTCCTCAAGAGCACGCGTGTAAATCCTTAATCAATAATGTAAGTACAACATACTGGCATGTTTATATCTAAAACTGTATATATATGTATATATCTTAGGTTTTTATCTTCTTACCAGTTTTGAATTATCCAGTATTTTGTCACAAAGATTTTTGTAGCAAAGCAGATGGCCCAAAGGAAAACTTCTTGGTGGAACAAGCCGTTTAAATTATATGGCTTATGTGCTGGGACATTGGCTGGACTATGAAACATGGTTTCCAAATTTTACTGGTATATAAAATTGCACTACTTCAGATATACATAAATTTTTCACTTATGTTTAAATTTTTTTTCACTCAAATGATTTTAGAATTCACTGCAAAAACTGATAAGACAGTGAGCATCAGTGACCTAAGATGGAATTCTGAGTTTGCTGATATAATTTTGGAAGCAATAAAAGAATTAAATCACAATGTAACTAATTTGAACTCACAAATGGCTACAGGTATCTGTTTCATATCTTATATTTTCAAGTACATTATGTATTTGGATAATCTTTTAACATTGTCTGTTATGATATTTAGGCTTCATGAAGGCTCAGTTGACAATGGAGAACGGCAAGAGGTGGAGTTCAGACCAAGTACTAAATCATAAATACAATCCTACTCTCGTTGTACTTACTCACGCACGTGCTGACAAAGTAAGTATCTCTAATATTTCTTTGTCTCGGCATGTATGTGTTGTAACAGACAATAACACAAAATATAACAATTGAAGATATTAGTAAATCTGGATAAAAAAGCTGAAGGAATCGAATTTGTTAGATTTGGCAATAAATATACAGCAATAGCGAAGGAAGGAGTTATACTAAGCGCAGGCGCAGTTGAGAGTCCAAAGTTGTTGATGTTATCTGGAATTGGACCCAGAAAGCATTTGGAGGATCTCAATGTAAGTGCACAACTATAAATAGACAATACTTTTGTCCCAAGTGGAGATTACTGCTGTGAGATCGAAATTTATTGAGGATAGAGTAACTTTTGTGTCTCTAAATATATAATCGTGTAAAAATTAAATATTATTTATATTAGTTTTAAATTAAAATTTATATATATTTAAAACTGAGAAATATAAATCCGGTCATAAGAGCCGTTCGCAGGATGTTGTGCGGAAAATGCCGCCTCTTTCTTAATTCCTTCTACCTGCCTACGAGAGATGTCACACCAATTCTGGGACACCTTATATATATATATAATGATTGATATATATATGATGATATATATAATGATTCATTCTTTATATATATTTAATTACAGTATTAAATTACAATTATATGTATTTTAATTATATATTGTTTACTTATGTAATCGCAACCATCATTACATCTAGATTAGTGTGATTAATGACTTACCAGTTGGTCAATTTTTGGTGGATCACGTACTAACCGGCCTTGATTTGGTTGTACTCAACACAAGTCTCGGATTGAATCTCTTCGACATCTTAAATCCTATATCGGCAATCAATTATTTTCTTTTTGGAGAAGGTGAAACGATACGTTAATTTTTTTCAACTCGGTAAAATGGAAAGATGCGCACAGATGCATTTGTCAAGCTTTCTTTGTTGTGTTTTATCCTATTTTTAAAATGTTATAAACAAAAATTAGCGTAATCAAAATTCATCAGAAAGTTTAATACATAAATACATCTGTGGTATCCTATTTTATTTTATATTTTTTTTTTCATGTCATATTTTATTTTGTATCTCATATACTTTAAAATGTTTTAATTAGGGCCGTGGACATCAGCAGGAATTGAGGTATTGGGAAGCTTCTATAGCGCTTTACATACAAATAAATCTGCACCACCTGACTTACAGTTGATGGTTTTACCTCTTGGTGCGTCAGAAGATCATGGCTTCATTCTTAAAAATACGATAGGTATTTCTGATGAGGTAAATTTTATGTATATTGTATGAAGTAAAACGCAACAATGAAACTATTAAAGTAAAAAATTAGAAAATGTTAAAATATTTTTTTCGAAATGTTTTACTCTAGGTATATAATGAGTATTTTGCTTCCCTTTCATACGAAAATACAGTGACAATTGCGCCCGTTTTGTTACACCCAAAGAGCAACGGAGAAATACAACTGCGGAGTAACGATCCTGCAGATAAACCATTAATCGACCCGAAATATTTGTCGAATAAGGATGACATCGACACACTTGTAGAAGGCAAGTAGAACATGTATCTACACAATAGAATCTACATAATAAATGCTTCGTATAATTAATTAATATAATAAAATTTAGGCTTGTACTTTATGAAGGAACTTTTAAACACAAGCGTTATGAGAACCAATGGCGTATCTCTCAATAAAAAACCTTTTCCCGGTTGTAAAAACCATGTATTTGATACTAGAGATTATTGGAGATGTTACGTGCAACATTTAACTCTGACGTCTTATCATCCAGCTGGTACATGCCGTATGGATAATGTCGTCGACGCATCCTTCAAGTAATTATTATCACACTATACATTTATAAAACTAGACAAAAAAAAAAGTGACCTAAATTCGATGAACTACACAAGTTTGGTGTTAACACTGAAAAGCCAACAAATTCGATAGGGAAATATAGGTCTTTTATTTTTATTTAATTGAATAGAGAGAAAAAGTGAGAGTATTCTATATATATACACACACACACACTCATATATGTACATATATCTAATACTCTTAATATGTACATGTATTACGTTCTATTTTTAGAGTTTATAATATGAAAAATTTGTATGTTGTGGATTCGTCAGTTCTTCCGTCGTTGCCCAGTGGAAATATTAACGCGGCTGTAATTGCATTAGCGCAAAAAGCTGCTATTATGTTTAAGTACAAACGAAAGGCAAAAGTAAATCAGAACTTACAAAGGCGATACAAATCATACAGAATGTGTTATGTATTTAACATTTGTGTCAGTATATGAAATATCAAATGTAAGTATGCAAAATAAAGCTTACAACAGTTTATCTCTATTGATATATATGTATAGCAATGCACATAAAAATTCATCCTAGTTGATATGGTGTATTAACTGATGTATATATAATGGTAATAATACAAGGAAAAAAAAGTTTTATCTTGTTTCTTAAATACAAATTTACCATTGATGGTAACGTTAAATGGTGAGAGATAATTTTTTTTTTTTTTTTTTTTTTTTAACAATTTTTTTCTGAAAATGTTTTTACACAAATTTGTTTTTACACACTTTCTTTTCTGAAAATTTAATTTTGCGTGTATATTATATACATACACATACACACACATACATATGTACACACAATGCTCCCACTTATTTAATTTTTTGTTTGCTAACTCTAATGACTCACACACACAGAACGCGTCAACGCGTCACAAGAAATGATGCGGTAGCCAATCAACATTTTTGCCTTTTGAAGAAGCACAAAAAAATAACTAGATATCGCATCGTTCCTCTGCATGCGCGTTGACGTGTCCTAGATGCAGAAGTTGTAACTCAAATACTACCTAACTCACGTATAAATATGTAATATTCAATTTATATCAAGAATCACAATTGTGATAACAAAATGTAATTGCCAATATGCATTTTTGTTATAGATAGCGAGCATAAAAAAAAAATAGATAAAAATTACAAAGTTTAAAAATCAGTCAAAATTAAATATAGTAAAAATCTGACTGATAAATACAAGATGATTGTTAATTAGTGTCAATGATACGTCCATCTTTTTCTATTCTCATTATGATGGGAATAACCATTGGATCTGTATCGGGCGTAATTGCTTTCTCGATTATAGTGCAACTTGTCATTTCTGCTATCATTCAAATTGTGTTCTCTATTTCTATCCCTATCCCTATTTCTATCTTTGTTCTCGTGCTTCCTACTTCTGTCTTTATTTCTGTTTCTCTCATGATTCTTATCCTTAGTTCTTTGATAAGGATAGTTCCTACTTTTATCATTATTGCTACAATTCATGTCAAAGTGCTTAGGATATGTTGAGGTATTGTGCAAACCATTTGTACCCAATATGTCATTGTTGCTCTGTGGCAAATAATTTCCTAAGGTCATTTGCTGACCTAGTTCCAACACTTGATTCATATTGCGAATGGATTTCAGAGATTGTTCTGCTTGTTGGTGTGACTCCTCATTATTCCTTAATCTCATATTAAGTGGACGATTATACAACATTGTATCTTCAAACAGTTGTAAGGCATATTTCACAGAATGGAAGTGTTTGTATGTGATAAATGCGTATGATCTTGGCTTGCCGTCGCGATCCTTAGGAATGGAAATTTTTTGTACAGGGCCTCCCTAATATAGCACAAAATTGTATGCACTAAATCTTACATTTAACAAGTTTACTCAATATATATTATATATTATTTATTTAAATAAACAGAGATTTATCTCATGTAAATATTTAGTTTATATTATGCAATGTAATACATAACATACGATCAAGAACAATATTGCGCATCAGATTTATGTATACGTAAACATATATATGTGAAATCAATTCTAGAAGAAACTAGAATACTAACTTGTAGAAACAACTCATAAAGAACATCCTCGGACACTTTGTCACTTAGATTTCCACAATATAACGTACGTGCGTCCTCGTCCATCATTGTCAACAAAACTGTGCTACTTTCTTTTTTTATACGTCTTACTTATGAATATATCTCTTACTATGCCTAGAGAATTACCATCGACCTTTCTGTACGCTTACTTCTTTTTTATAACGTTCAGCCATAAGATTAAAACTTCTGTAATGGATAATATTATCTTACACCATTTTGTTATCTTACACCATTTGGTTTTATGTACCTTTTGACTATTGGGTGCGTTCGGGAAGCGCGCTATCTGTTGCATCATTCTATCCTTATTGCTCATTAGATGTAAAACAAAGATAGAATAACGTGTTCCCCGAACGCAGCCACGAAGTGCGGTCAAAATCTCACTACAAATGCTTCGAAGCATCGTATTATCTTTATTTATCGTTAAATGTAGAATAAAGGGTGCGCGTTCAGACAACTCAACGGTTGAGAGATCATCACTTATGATAGGATTATTCTTCAAAATCTGTTGAGGTTCCAAAAGTCTGATCCAATCAGAAGTGAATTATCTCTCAACCGTTGTGCAACCGTTGAGTTGTCTGAACGCACCCATTAGCATTGTTCATTTTGTTTCTCGGAAGCTGCTCGGAGTTGTTCCGAGCAGAACCCATATTATGGTGTTCTTTTCCGGCAAGAACAGCAGCCGAAACCCGGAAGTTATATCGAGGTGAAAACTTGGGGTTCTGTTATTTTTCTACCGTCAAACTCGATGAATTAAAAAATGTCACGATTATACGTTTCGAAATTATGTTCTTTATTAAAAAATACTAAATCGTCAGAAGTATTATTGAGTCGATTGCAATGTAAAGTCGATGATCGGTTCAACGATGCGGTATGCCGCAACTGTTTGAGAAGTTATACCCAATGTTCCTTGCAATTGACATCTCGGATTTATCCGATGTACAAATGCTTGGACAGAATATTTTCAAAATATTCTGTAACGCTTTCGACGACTGTGACAGAAAAATACAGGAATTGTGACAGTAGATCTAAAAGAAGACAATACAAGTATCTTGGATTTCTTTTAAGCGGTCTTGGTCTTGTAGTGGCTCTTTGTGACGCTCAAAATTTTAAAGGTATATATATTTCAATTATAATACATACAATACATAAATATTTTTGTAAAAGATGTATGTGAAAGATTGAATAAACACAATTGGGACTTTTTTTGTTTTTTTAGAAAAAAGATTCTTCCGTGCTGCTCAGTATGGTAATATTTCAGAACTGAGAAAAGTAAGTTTTTTTATAACGTGCAAAATATAATTTATCTAATACACAGAGATGTATAGTATTAATCCAAAAATGTATAATAACAAATTATGTCTATATTTAACAGCTCAATATCTTTTTTTTTTTTTTTAAGGCTATAGCAGATGGCATTGATGTGAATGTCAGACATCCATTAGGTTGGACAGCTTTACATACTGCTGCTATAAATCAAAAACCTGATGTTATTAAAATTTTGTTGGAGAGTGGTGCTGATGTGAATGCAGAAGATAGATTTGTGAACGTGCACAGGACCGCTATAGAAAAGGGCTTACATTCTTTGGATGGTATATTTTTCATAAATATTAAGATACAAAGATGCATGAATAATTTTTTTTTTTTTTTTTTTTTACAGAAATTGATTATGTAACTGCAGTCTCAACTGATTGTGATTTTGTTTTAGTTCTAATGAAGAGAGAAGAAGAGTTTTCCGAAATATTAAACAATAAAGCTACTTTTCAAGGTTTTACCGCATTGCATTATGCTGTTTTAGCTGATTCAGAAATATGTGTACAGACATTGTTAGACGGAGGTGCAAATCCAACTGTGGAAAACGAAGCAGGACATCGAGCGGTTGAGTATGCAAAAGAAGGAAAAATCAAGGAAATGCTCATTAAACATGCTATAAAATATGATGAACTAGTAAGAGAAAAAGTATGCATTAGAATTAACTTTCTTGTGCATAACTTTATATACGAAAAAAAACAATTATATCACAGTGTACAAACAAATTTATATTCTTAGGAAGCAGAGGAACGTAGGAGATTTCCATTGGAGCAACGTTTGAAACAACACATTGTAGGACAAGAGGGACCAATTTCTATTGTTGCTTCTAGTAAGAAAATTTATATTTTTGCAATGAAATAATATTTTTCTTTTATTCTTTGTTTTAGCAAAAATGTTTTGTAAACATTTAATACATTATTTAATATTGCTAGCTATTAGGAGGAAAGAAAATGGTTGGATAGATGACGAACATCCACTAGTATTTCTTTTCTTGGGTTCATCGGGCATCGGTAAAACAGAATTAGCCAAGCAACTAGCTGCTTATATTCATAAAAATAAAGCGGACACTTTCATCCGGCTCGATATGTCTGAATATCAGGAGAAACATGAGGTTGCGAAATTAATTGGAGCACCACCGGGGTGTGTGAATAAAATTTATATTTATATTATTATCTTGTAATTTCAGCTTGCAAGTATTTTTCAAATGTAAAAACACACAAGAGCGCAATGATGTTGAAAGTTTTTATTATTTTGTACCGTTAATTATGAAACTTATGATTTTTAGATATGTAGGACATGATGATGGTGGACAACTGACAAAACGTTTAAGAAAATGTCCTTCGGCTGTTGTACTATTCGATGAAGTTGATAAAGCTCATCCCGATGTCTTAACTGTTTTGCTACAACTTTTCGACGAGGTATCTGTTTTTTTTCTGTAGATCGTTTGATTATCTTTATAGGTTTGTATCATGCAATGATTTTTATTTTTTTTTTATTTTTTTTTATTTTTATTCTCAAGGGAAGATTGACTGATGGCAAAGGGAAAACAATTGAATGTAAAAAGGCTATTTTTATAATGACGTCAAATTTAGGAAGCGAAGTCATTGCGGAACATGCAATGCAACTCAGAGCGGAAGCTGAGAGATTATTAAGTCACAGATTAGACAAACAATCTTCTGACGATCAAGAACCGGAACGTATCGAGATATCTCGTAACTTCAAGGATCAAGTGGTATGTAAAATAAAATTGAAAAAAAAAAAAAAAAAAAATAGGTTTTACATATGTTTGATTATGAGCTCTACAACGAATGTCTCGTAGGTACGTCCGATATTGAAAGCTCATTTTCGTAGAGACGAATTTTTGGGAAGAATAAATGAAATTGTGTACTTTCTACCCTTTTCTCGAGCAGAGCTAATTAGATTAGTTGCTCGAGAACTTGAATCATGGGCTTTGCGCGCAAAAGAAAGACACATGATTGAGCTGAAGTGGGACAGAGAAGTTATGTCGGTATTGGCGGATGGTTATGATGCTCATTACGGTGCTCGTTCTATAAAATACGAAGTAGAAAGACGTGTTGTCAACCAATTAGCAGCAGCTCATGAACGAGGACAAATTGGTACTAAATTTTTCTATATGATAAAATAGAGTATTCGCTTGCGAGAATGAATGAAAATGAAAAACATTTTTATCCCCTTCTCTAAGTCTAAATTTTGTATCGTATCTTTTTTTAAACGATAATGTTTTTACAGGTAAAGAATGTTGTGTGCTGTTAAAAGTCAAATGGCATGACAATGGTGCAAGTATTATCCTCTCTGTTCGGCAGAAAAATTCAAGAAACTTTGTCGATATTCTGGAAACAGACACTGTTACGAAAAATGTTAGTTCAACATTTTTATTTTAACTAAGGAATAGGTATATAAAATTGTCAAGTGTTAATTTATATATTTTGCGAAAGTGGAGTTAGACTTCTGTTTTGTGAAGTACGAAAAGTATTCGAATGTTATAAGAGTTTTATCTATAACATCCTTACATTTCATGTACGCAGACAAACGTATATAAATTCTTTATGTAAACTTTATGCAAACATACACATACACGCACACACAAAAGAGAACATTCTCAAACTATCGACTAATAAGTAGTTAGTACGTAACACGTACGAAAATGTATATACTTTTAATTTAAAATACTTTAAAAAGAAAAAGAACCAAAGAGCCTGGTCCAAATTGGTAGAATGTGTACACAGTTACTGAAGATGATCATTAATAAAATTTGATCGAAATGTCATCCCAATCTATACTGAACACTGGACTTTATGGCTCTCATCACAGAGCACGTTTATCGCCTGTGATTAATCTCTTCCTGTAAATCTATGATTCGACGTATGAAAGTATATGCCAATGAAGCAACAATTGCTAATCGCTGAGTTCTGCTGAACGCAGCCAAAATACTGTTTTTCCATAAGAGCAAATTGCTGGGGTACGTTCCAAAATCCTACTTTGGTTACTAAAATGCTATATTTTGCGTCACGTGTACTATAATTTTCGGTTACCAAGGTAAGATTTTTGGAACATACTCCTTTGATTGGCTACATTGTTTTTGCCGCGCATAACGCGTTTTCTCTGCGGAAATCTTGATTTACGCATGCGCACAAAACTTCCACTTTTATTAGACAGTTTAAATACACGCGTATGCAGTAATTTTTTCAATAAAAAAACTAAGTTTTAGTGCGCGTATGTAATGAAAAAGAAAATCAATTAACACTTCAACTTTATGCAAAACTCTCTTTTTACCGTTTGTTCTTGTCATTATATCCTCAGGACGACTTGGAATATGTTTTATAAAAAATATTCTCGAACAATTTACAACACGTATTACAAAACATGTTCAGGATATTCTCAGGAAATTTATTTTTAAGACGATCCTGAACACATATGTAGTAAATTACCTCGGACATGAATGAGATGAGTTTAGGATATGTGGTTCTAAGAAATACCAAATATCCTGAGAATAATTTTAGGCGTTTATTTGCTATTTCTTAGAATATTGTTGGAATTATACGAGGAAGTATATGAGAAATGCGATAGGAGATATTTTTCGATTATTCCCATACGCAAGCAGTATCTTTTATCAGAATGTTCAAAAGTCATCCCTGTGCTGGGTAGACCTTTACGCACTTTTGCAATTTACCGGGAAAAAGAGAAGAAAATACTAATTGCAAAATCCCTCGGATCTCTCGAGCACCGGCCGCTCGATTGTCCGAGTTATTATTTGCATGTGTTGTGCAACGCGTCACAAAATTCCGCATCCGCTATTCACATTCAAACTGGATCGAATTCATTTTCTCGCGAATGAACGATATAACAGTTTGACAAAAACTAATTTTTAATGAAACAACGAATTGTTTGTCGTTTTATACGAACGTGGCAACAATTCGGGACAATGTCCGCGAATTTTCGAGAAAATATCCGCAAGTGTCGTTTGCGAAATCGGGCAATTTCGCGGGTTTCCAGAATATTCCAGGGCGTGTGGCGCGCCAATCGCCGCGCGTCCAGCGCTACCATGATTGGTCAGTTTTGAAGCGAACTTAGCAGAAAGCAAGTGCATTCTCACGTCGGCAGTGCCAGTGAGCGTAGCAAGCAATTGCTTTTGGATCGTTGCGCGTGAGCGATATATATACTTTCTCGTGTTGACGTTAAATCGCAAAAAAAGTTGCGAATTAATTAAGTGTTTCGAGATTCGAGTACCGAGTTTCCAAGTGCGAGAAACGTTATTAAAGCACCAACCGAAAAATCCCGTCTGAGATCCCCGGACTGTTGTATCACACGAGTGTCGATACGGCTTCTCTGTACCAACCATAGCCATGGCTGCGATGTCCGTAATCGGGATCGACTTTGGTAACGAGAGCTGTTATGTGGCCGTGGCACGTGCTGGCGGCATTGAAACCATTGCGAACGACTACAGTCTTCGCAGCACGCCGTAAGTAATTTAACGTCCCACGTACGATATTCGTTCGTTGATGTTCGCGCTCTCGCCAACCCTATTCCGAAGGATACCGGTATCGCTCGCCGGTCTCTCGCCTGTCGCGACCTTCGATTAACTACGCGACTCTCGCTTGCTCTCTTTATCAGTTACCGCTGATCTCTCAACTTGTCCTTTCGTTTCGTTTGGCACAAGTGTAGATTGCAATCTACGTTTCGAGCATGGATCTGATGCTATCGAAACAAAATTTCACTGCCACCATTGAAAATTTATAACATACGTGACGCGAACTATAGATTTTTGGTATCGGCGATTAATACATCGGAAACACGTAGCTGTTAAGAGAAAAATATCGCGCTCTCGTCCATGACAATTCGTTTTATAAGCGTTTACTCTTCGTTCAAATTGTCGGGTGCGAAATTTCAGATCTCTTCGGCATTCGATTTATAAAGCGAAATTCTCATATAATTTCAACAAACTCGAGTTTTGAAAAAAAAAAAAAAAACAATTAGTTCAACGTTTCACTGTCGAGTTTCGATTGTCACAGATGACATGCAGAGAATTTTTCCCACAACTTTATCACAGAAACAATCTCTCAACTTCGAAATCAACGTATATTTGTTTATAATTCTATCCGAATTAAAATGAAATTTTCTGTGACAATTTTGTATAAATAACATAACAATGATATTGTTTTAGTGCGTGACAACTTGCACGAAGATTACCGTATTTTCGAGAACATTGCCATTTATAGGTATCTTATTATATAGCAGTAGTAGTGTATTCTCGATGTGGATCCCACGTTTTCGGTTATCCCAAAAAGTCCCGCTTTGATCGCGCGGCATTTCACGTCACTTGTTTGCTCGTTTTTTTTTTTTTTTATTTCAAGATGTCAGCGCACATGTATTTTTCTATAGTTGTTGATAACTAGTAATTAACACTCAGCCTCTGTCTGTCTTAAATTGGAATAGGAAAATTATTAGTTCAATCATAGAATTTTTCTTGAAACCTAAAAGCATATACATAGATATATATAAAAGTATATACGTATAAAGTATAAACAAATATATAATATGTTATATTAAGGATTAGTAGAAATTTTTCTAAGAAAGTTTTTGTAAGACTTTGTTTTTACTTCAGCAAAAAACATAAAGCATGTTGTCACAGAAATTGTTTTTTTTTTCCAACTTATTGTTAACCCGAGAGTAGTCACCTGAGGTGTTTTTTACATCTCAGCGTTGAAAAGACGAAGCTTAGTATTACAGCCGCTTAATGTTCATTTTCTTGATTTTTTCTTTTTTTTGTTAGAAAATATTCAACACGTATTCAGTATGTCTTTAGATATCAATAAATCATAGAATGATCAATAATTTACAATATGTATAGTGAATAACAATGACTTCCAATTGGAGTGTAAAAATCACTCCAGGTGATCTTTTATGCAAAAAAAAAAAAAAAAAAACTGGTGTGACTACTCTCCGATTAATGAGTTATTTTTGTAAACAATTCTATTCAACTTTTATTTTTAACGCTTAGATATATCATAAATATAAGTAGCTTACAATTTCTATGATAAACAAAAAGGTCACCTTTTTACCTTAGGTGTTAAAAATAAAGATAAACTCTTGAATTATAACGTTTATTATGCTTCGTAGGTCATGCGTGGCATTCAGTGGAAAGAATCGAATACTTGGCGTAGCAGCCAAGAGTCAAATGGTAACAAATGTGAAGAATACCATTCATGGCTTTAAAAGACTATTAGGTAGAAAATATAATGACCCGCAAGTTCAAAGTGAGTTAAGATTTCTTCCTTTTAAGTTAACACCAGAAGCTGACGGAAGCATTGGTATACATGTAAGTATTGCATTAAACATACAGAACAAAACAATGTTTAATATTAAGCGTGTGTATGATGGTTAGCTTCAAAAAATTTTACAAGGTGAGATGAACAAATGGATGTTTGAAGCAAACACAGATGTTGTTGTGTATGATGAAAGTGTGTATTTATTGTGCAATCATGACTTGTTATGTGTAAAAGCTTCTCAAACAGCCATTTGTTCATCTCATCTTGTAAAACAATGTTTTAAATTTCGTTGGTTTTTGCTTACGAAAATATTTATGATTACAATTTTTAACTCTTTGCGAACAGACATGAGTCTTCCCACTAAAAAATTGCGCATCAACGTTTCTACAAAAAATTAGAGTTTTTAAACATTTGTATCTTCGAAATTACTAGAGATTTTTTCAATTTGTTTTTTTTATAAAACGTATAATATGTATAAAAAAAATATACATATATATATATGTTATACGTTGAAATGTGTGAAAATAAAAATATACGAAAAGAATCTCTGAATGTGATAGAAATGTTAAAAGTTTGGATTTTTTTACTAGTTATTAAATCTGTTTTATTATTTATTGATCAAGAATCAAAAGTAATTTAGGCACTCTGCCAGATCTCTCTCAATTCTGGAGAGACTTATTTATTTCTATTTGGAATGTTATGATTCATTAATGTTGCTCACTTGTATTATATAATGTGTGTGTTATATGTAACATTATATTATATTACCAAATAGATTTAAACATCTTTATCTCTGATTTAGGTACAATATCTAGGAGAAGAACATGTGTTTTCACCAGAGCAGATTACCGCTATGCTCTTTACAAAGTTGAAAGAAATTTCTGAGACAGCGCTGCAAACTGCTGTTAATGATTGTGTCATATCAGTTCCTTCGTACTTTACTCAAGCTGAACGTCAGGCTCTGCTTGATGCCGCTAAGATAGCAGGCCTTAATGTTCTCAGATTATTTAACGAAACCACGGCCACTGCTCTTTGTTATGGTATTTATAAACAGGACTTGCCGTCATTGGAATCACCTCCCAGAAATATTGTATTCGTGGATTGCGGCAATGCAAGCTTGCAAGTGAGCGTTTGTGCCTTTCATAAAGGCAAACTTAAGGTTAGTGTCAAATGCAATATTTACAAAACTATGAAACTTGTTGCGCTATGCGTGTAATATAAAATAACTGAGAACTTTTCTTATTTAAGATGTTGGCAAGTGCTGCTGATAATCAATTAGGCGGAAGAGACATTGACGTTATTTTAACGGAACATTTCTGCAATGAATTTAAAACGCGATACAACATCGACGTGCACACCAATCCGCGTGCATACCTGAGATTATTAGCGGAAGCGGAAAAGCTAAAAAAACAAATGTCGGCTAATTCAACCACCCTTCCACTAAACATCGAGTGCTTCATGGACGAAAAGGATGTGCACGGCGAAATGAAACGTAACGAAATGGAATCATTATGTGCCCATCTGTTCGAACGTGTCGAAAAAACTCTCAAGCAATGCTTGTTGGATTCGAGTAAGTTTGTCAGTCCTGTAAACGATAATTTGTACGATATTACTATATTAATGTGTATTAACAATAAAATTATGTAATTTACCAGAGTTGAAGTTGGATGATATTCACTCGGTTGAGTTAGCGGGTGGATCGAGTCGCGTTCCTGCCATCAAACGTTTGGTGGAAGAAGTCTTTGGTCGTCCGACTTCGACGACTCTCAATCAAGATGAGGCGGTAGCTCGCGGTTGCGCGTTGCAATGCGCCATGCTCAGTCCGGCTGTACGCGTTCGTGACTTTTCCGTTACAGACTTGCAGCCGTATCCATTGAAACTAACATGGGATGCTACTCAAGGCGAAGAAGGGTACAACTAACATTTTACATATTTCTTTATTTTTTGCTGCTTAATGAAAAACGATGATTTTTATAGATTATAATTGCGATGCGATCTTTATACAATTTTTGATGTTTTGTCCTTGAAAATCAACTGTTTTTGCTCACCTTTACTTGGTATTTTTAGTGAAATGGAAGTATTTGGACACAATCATCCTGTACCGTTCTCAAAGATGTTAACGTTCTATCGTTCGAGTCCATTTACACTCACTGCAAGTTATAGCGTACCGCCGTCTTGTTATCCTCAGACACATATTGGTAAGTGATTTTGGATTTTTACTATTAATATCTCATTAAATAAAATGTCTGTTCGTAAAAATTTTCAAATCTATGAGTAATGGGTCGAACTAAAAAACCAAATATTTGTGTTTAAAGTTAAATGCTTTATTTTACAATAAAAGTCAAACGTTTCGACATATAGTTTGAATCCTCTTCAATGACAATCTAAATATTGTAAATAAAAATTACACCAAACACAAACAACAAGTCAAATTTGATGAAGGTCGAAACGTTCGACTTTTACTAAAATAAAACATTAATTTTAAACACGAATATCCAGTTTTTTGCTCGTATTGGCATTACTTCTACATTTGAATATCTGTTATGTCCTAAAAATAAGGTTTTGTGCTTTTATAAAAGTTACAGAAACTAATTCAAGAAAGTATTTAATGTGATAATATTTATAGAGTAAATTTATCTAAATTTCATTAATCTGTATATATACATATGTTTCATGCAGGAACGTTCACGATAAAGAATGTAAAAGCTACGCCGGAAGGTGAATCGGCGAAAGTTAAAGTAAAGGTAAGAGTGAATCTGAATGGTATTTTAACTGTGGCATCAGCATCGCTTATCGAGAAACGAGAGCCGACTCAACAAGAGAAGGAAGAAGAGGAGGCACACCAGAACAACATGGACGTAGATCACCAGCCAGGAGATAAAAAAGATAAACCTGATCAGGAAGCACAGGCGAACGAACCACCAGCTCCAGAGGTTTGTCATTCTATTCTAACACGATATAAGCATCGCGACGGAAAAGTAGCGAATAGTAACACTTAAGCGACTGGCAGCCACTTTTAAGATGCTTCGCACAGTACTTATCGATGAGGAATTCATTAATCGGCTTAAGTCTCACACATAATCCTAAGAATATTATTGTTTGAATGTTTATCGGATATGCCGGTCGATTAAATGTTAAAAAATAACTATAATATTTTCTAATCAAAAAAAAATTATATATGTATATGGTTAGGAATGCAAATCACGTGGAATCAAATTCTGTGCTGGTTTGCGATTAGTACGCATGGCCAGCACTGAGAAATATATGACTATGTGAGTTTATTATGGTTTAGGTGAATATGGATAAGACACGACGGAACTCAGATGCTGATGATGATGGGAAAGGTGCTAGGGGCTCTGCCCCTTCTTACTCGTCCAGGATTCTCTCTTGGTTCAGCTCGGTACGGGGCATAATATCTCTACTTGGACCCATACGCATATATTTACATTGAAGCATATACCTATGTGCGCTATGTGAATTATTGAGCTTAATCTCTTGCACTATTGTGTTACCGTGAGCATTCTTTTGTCATCTAGGTCGTGTTGTCTGTTTTTTTTTTTACACGCCAGCTTTGTCATTCACCTTGAGAACAAATTAATCCAACGACAGTCCTTGTACGATTACAATGAATGCACAGTAATCGCAATCATCACAGTAATCGCAATCACTTACATAACGCAAGCGATATAGTTGTCGGTTAAAGTTTAATGCACAACAAACACATCTTCATATCTACTTTATTTCTAACAAAATTGATTGAGAATTTCCTTGCTTTCTTTTTTTCATAAGAATAATTTGCAAAATATTATCATATTTTTTTATTTGTCAAAATAAGTAAAAAAAAAAAATGGTTTTTGATATAAATTTATTTAATTAAGTTTTTTCGAAAACTTATTTGTGTATCGTTCTGTTGCACATATATTAGAATATGAATAGATATAGCGAGATTATTTATTATTATACTTTCTCGTGGATGATTTATGAAATTTTTGTTTTTAGAATGTTACAATTTTTACTTCTGTCTATCATGATGCATGATGTTTGCCTTAGACGTTTAGAGTTTTAAATCCTGTGTCGATTTCTTCTGCAAACTCGGCTATCTAGCGGCATTATAAAAATCTTGAAAGATCAAGAGCTTGCTCCTTGAAAGACGTGAAATAACAATGCAATTATATAATTTAGTTGTAATAGTATATAATTCTGTCGTTCTTTTTTTTTGTCAATGCATATGGGTCCAAGAATAGTTGTGTCACGTTGTGCTGTCTGTCTTTGCTCTGCTATTCTACATACTGAGTCGCAGAAGGAAAAGAGACAGTGATATCGAATAGAGAGAGACATAGTATTATCGATACAGGCTACAGGTTCCGATAAAAGTTCACTGCCAGCAGTGGAAATCTATAATGCATGTAACGTGAACTGTGGGTTTTCAAATACTGGCAGCGTGAATTCTGGAACGAAGCTAAGATAGATGGATATTCTTTTCTCAAATTACTTTAGACAAAAACCAAATCAACCAATTGGCTTTTTATATCAGCAATTTTGTGTGATGTGTGTCATTACAGACAGACAATTTAATACTATACACACGAAACTGTATATTCTCCTTGCCTCATCACCTGAATTCCAGCTTAGTTGTTTTATTCATGTACAAGTTTTTATAGTTGTCACGTTAAAAATAGATAAGACAATCGTAAAAACGAGTGAAGAACAGAAAAATTAACACATCTTTTTCGAATATCTTTTTTTTTTTATTATAGGTTTCTACGACATGAAATATTCAAAAAAAAAAAATTATGTTATTTAATATTTGTTGAATCTTCTTTCAGGGAGATGATAAAGGCGACGATAAGGGCAAGAAAAAGATTCCCATTCGCACGATCGATTTGCCTATCGAGGCAAATGTTTGCGGACTATCCGCACGAGACCTTGATGCCGCAGTAGAAAAAGAGGTAGGCGTTATTCTGAGCATATTACTTTATGCGTTACTTTACACAAACTGATATAAATATTCATTAATAGTTATTTTGTAATTTTATGTTATCCTGTATATAAACGTTATATGTTGTTTATTTTGCCCTCTTTCCTCTCACTCTTCAGTTATGATAAAACCAAAAATTTTTACAAAATATATGATTTGTTCTTTTTCACTGAACTAGCTGCATCAGAGTTCATCCTTTTTACTTCAAATGGAAAGAAAAAAGATAAACTCTGAACTAGTGTGACCAGTTCAGCAAAACAGAGTAAACCAATAATGTCAAAACGATGTTTAATTTTATATATTTGATTTGTAAACAGGGAAAAATGGTCGCCGAGGATAGACAGGAGAAGGAACGAGTTGACGCACGTAATGCCTTGGAGGAATACGTGTACGATTTGCGTGCTAAATTAACTGAAGACGATCAGTTAGCTACGTTTATCACGGAAGCGGACAAGGAAGCGTTGTGTCGTACATTAGACGAAACAGAACAATGGCTCTATGAAGAGGGAGAAGATTGTCAACGACATGTGTACTCCGAACGATTACAACGCTTGAAAGTACGTTGATTTGATAAAATCAATAATTGCCATTAATACAGAAAAATCATACATTTGCTTTCCGTGAACTTTTGTTTTTATCTGATTTTTTAAAAATTACATTTTCTTTTTTCAGTCTCAAGGCGAGCCGATAAAGGAAAGAAGATTAGAATTCGAAGGAAGATCTTACGCACTAGAGGAATTAGGAGGAGCGTTACAGCTAGCTAAGAAAGGTTTGGATCAAGTAAAAGCGTCGTATGGAAAAGACGACAAATATTCTCATCTAACGGAAGAAGAAATCAAAACAGTTGAGAAAACTGTGCAAGAAAAGTGGGCGTGGTTGGAAGAGAAACGCGTGTTGCTCGCGAGTACGCTTCGCACGCAACAACCGCCGGTCACTGTGGCGCAAATTCGCGCTGAGAAAACAGTAAGTGTAAAATAAATCTACAATAAATTTAATAAGTTCGTAGTGTAAACATTTCTTTTGTGACACATATTTATTGTGATTTCACGTTGTGTTTGCACAGTCCTTGGATAGTGTGGTGCTACCTATTCTTAACAAGCCTAAACCTAAAGTAGAACCACCAAAGGAGGAGAAACCAAAAGATCAGTCCGATGAACAGAAAACTAATCAAAATCAAAATGCTCAGGGTAACAATCAGAGTCAGCCTAATCAACAGCAGCAGCAGCAACAAGAAGAAAAAATGGACGTTGAGTAACAGTCACCACAACTTATGTGTTTTTAATAATATTAAAATCTATCGTAATTAAAAAAATAGCAAATAATTCACTTCAGATAAACCATGTTTACTGTGTCAACGTGATCTGACATACTAATAAGTCGGATTAGCACACGTGGTTGTTTTTCTGTCTCTCTTCCGTTTTCTTCTTTTTTTTCTCTCTCTCTCTGTAACGTCTATATATTGTAATACGGTGAATTAATTGCACTAATGAAGTGTCATTCAAAACTAAAGATTTAATTCAATGATTTGAATTAAATTTGTGATTTACAAATTTACGTTTGTAAAGAATCGTTGAACAGAACATGCGTTTTTGCTTGAAAGCTTATGTATTACTGACGTTCGTGATATGTAATGTCACGAGTACATTTATTAATTAATCTCGACAAATGAAGATCTGCGGATGTTCTAGGAAGCAAGAAACAATGAAACAGTACTGTTTGTGTTTCAAGATCTCTCGATTGTTTCTCAAAAGTTCGCAGTACATTTTTAATTGTATAAAATTGGTCTCGATATACACATACTTGAATTTCTTAAAAATTATTGCTAGAACTTCTAATTGTTTGTGAGTTTTAAAATTCAGAGAGTGTTAAGTTAGACTTAGGTGAAATTTCTAATGAGTGATGTTGTTGGCGATCTTATGTGTTAAACATAAGATAATATTGTTATATTATCTTATTTGTGTGACATATTTAAATATTGTTCATTCCAACTTTTTTTTGACGATCGACAACAGATACTCCGTCACCCAAGTTTTTTTTTTTTTTTTTTTTGCATTTACGATAAATAAATTACGTCTCGTACCAGTTGAGGAGTATTTACGCTCTAATCTTTTTTTTTTTTTTTCAATAATTGATACGAACATTAAACAACAAAAATATGTTACAATAAGAGTTTGTTTTGCAAATTTTTTATGTTGAACACTTAAACCATGGTTTTAGTTCGTTAGTCAGCGCTGTCTAAGAGAAAAATGATATATCTTTAGCTAGACACACATCATTGTACATAACTTGTAGACATCTACACAATGATATAGAGTATTTCTTTACCACTACATATTTATAATAACTGCTATTGCACTTTCACACAGCGCATAACGCATTCAACACAAAACTCCAACTGTTCCTAGAAATATATCAGAGATGGGCGATCCATATTTCACTCCTACGCCTAACTTCGTTTTTTTAGTTTTTCACACTGGTGTTTAGCAACTAAGTCTCGCAGTTCAATAATATATAGTATTTAGCATTAGCAAGATATGAAGAAGACGTGAAAGTTAATTTGTTAAAAGATACTTTTCGAATGATAAAACAATCACTTAGCGTATGAGAAATTATTTGTGGCTTCACATGCATAGTTTTCGCGTATGAACATTAATTTAATACAGATTATTATGCTTTTAAAAATAAATATTTTCAATAATTGTTCGAATAATCTGTCAAGTTCAACAAATTTGCCCGTTATTTAATAGAGAATCTTTTGGCTCTGAAGTTTCAAACAATGAGTATATGTAAATACGGTCAATAAGAGTCATTCGCTAGATGTTTTTTGCGGTACTATTTGTGTATACATGTGCTACATATATATACGTGTTCACGTGTAAATCTTACACGTATATATGTTTACACATGTATACACGAATAGTACCGCAAAAAACATCCAGCGAACATGGCTCTTATTGACCGTATTTACATATACTCATTCTTTGCCCGTTATTGCTCGGAGTATTTAGAAATCAAGTTGTGGTTTAGTTTCATGGACATTTAATGAGGATTAAATTATTTCCATCTATGGTACATAACACATCTTTATATATATATATAAATTCTAAATTAGTTTAAAAATTACTAAGTAAATTACATTTATCAATAAAGAATCGAATTTAAAATCATTTTTATTCAATATTTTCTTATTAAATAATTGTCACATACAAAGAGAGAGAAATATGGGCAGCTATCTCTCCTGACTTTTTTACTATAGATTTATCTACGTATACCTCTTTGTGGGGTCAAGCGCGGCGAGACCACACCTTGTGTTGTTTTGCTTATATAATTTCCTTGCATTTAAGTTTTTTGAAACTACACGTTCAGATAAGTCTCAAGGTCGCTCGCTCGCGTGCGGCGTAGAACTTAAGACGAGCGTGTGGTTTACGAGCAATTGCAATCTGAGTTGCTGCATTTCAAAGAAGATAACATCTTTTGATTTTATGAAAATTAGATTAATTTTATACATATTTGATCGATATATAATCGATCTTACTTTACGGCTTAAATAAGACAACAAATTTTAATTATCGAAATTTAAATAAAACTCAATAGTCTACCTATGTGGATTATTGTAACAAACGTCATAAACGTAGTCTAAAATTATAAATATGTTAAAATCTGAAACAAAAATATAAAATATTTTGAAGTATAAAATATGAAAATAAAAATATATAAAATATAATATTGTAATTTAATAAAAATATGTGTGTATATTCAATGTATCCGCACTATAATATACAGTCTCTGATTCCGCGTTTGACCTTTACAAATGAGATTTGATCTACAAAAGAATGAAAAATCGTCTTGTGTTGTCACAGCCTTGTTATTTGCGATTTGTAAAAAACGATGAAATTGCATCAAGAGAAATTTATAATCACTTGTCTAATTAATAAAACATGTGAAGCGTACACATTTACAGTATTACATATTTTTTATTTATATACATTAACAAAAAGATACGTGATATATTTTAACAATTGTGTGAATAGGACTTGATATATTTTAACAATTGTGTGAAAAGAACTTTAATAGGACGTACACTTACACCTAGTTTTTATTGCAAACACTATATATTCTGGAACGCTCAATAGAAATTGATGAAAATAAATCTTTTCCATTAGAATTCTATAATACACGCGGAGAAATAATGCTACTAATTTCAGCAAACTGTAACAAGTCAATCAATTTTTTGGTTGAAGCAAAAGAAACAAACTTATATCAACAAATGTTAGAACAAAATTGTTAAAATTTTATTTTGACACATCAAAGATAAATGTACTGACTGTGATTATGTCGTGTTTGTGGTCACCAAGGTGTACTTAACAATAAAAAAACAAAAATAATTAATCTCTTTTAAGCGCTGGTGTCCGTTCATCAAAGAACACTCTGAATATGAAATGTCCGAAAGCGATGTGTAATACTAAAACAGCAACACCAGCAGAGTATACCTTACTTTGCATATCTGTCAGACCAAATATACCTAGAGACAAATTAGAAATATGTTTATTAAAGTAAAATGCTCTAACATGTATAAACATTCTTTTTAAAGAGACACAAAAATATTTTTTTTCTTCTAGTAGTTATATTATTTATGAAACAATTTATAAATAATTTTAATTTATTTACCATCAGAAAGATAAGCTTTGCTCAGAAAAAATGTTATCACAGGTAATCCAAATATGAGCAAACCATGAAAAACAACCCTGATAAATATCTCTTTTTCTTCCATTCTTTCCTAAAACAAAAAAAAAGAAATTTATTATAACAAATTGATACTTTGTCTCAAAAAATACAAATGAGATGTATACATAAAAGATACATACATAATCTCATTAATTTATTATTTATTTAATCAGAGATTATTAACATAAATTAATTGAAGACGATGATAAAACTTTTGTCACTTGCAATAAAACTATTATCTTAAAATATATAGTCAGTCACATGCAATAATTACGGAAGCGCTGATATTAATATCGAACTTACTTTTGTTGAAGGTGGGGAATGCAACTTGCTACTTTTACTTGTCATGATTTATAACCAAGTTAGTCAACTATTATGTTTAAGTTACTGACAATATAGAAAACTTTAATATTGATGTGAATATTAATTAATGCTAATACACATAGAAAAATAACGCCGACTCGCTGTATATGTAGTTTATCTTCTCACGATATCATTTCTTTCTTTTTTTGAGTTTATCGTTTATCCCAGTCTTACGTTTATCGTAACAACACCGTTGTCACTAAAAGACAAATTGCTTATATATATATATAATCACTTATAATTGTTTTATTTAAAATACACGTATGGAATTGAGATAATAACCTGTTTGGAACATTGATATATTACACCATTCTCTGATATGACAATCGCGTGACCAGCGCGCAAAAGCGAAAATAAGGTTATATAGGCTGCGTTCCGATATTCACTGCCAGTACAGAAAATCTATAGCACATGCGACGTAAAGTGTAGATTTTTAGTATTGGCAGTGAATATCGGAACGCAGTTTATGGCGATTTTCACTGGCAGTGAATAGCCGCCCGTTCAGCGAAACAACTGCTGAGTTGTTTTGTTAAGAGCCGTCTACAATGGAGAGTTGTAGGCCGTAACAGTAAGAAATTGACCAATCACAATCGATTATTCTTCTGTACTTTGTCTGTGATTGGTCAATTACTTACTGTTACAGTCTAAAACTCTCCATTGTAGACGGCTCTTTAAAGGCCATTGCACGTAGCAAAAATTTAGACGTAGTCGCAAGGTCGTAAGCAAATCGACCAATCGCTGGCCAGCATTCCAACTAATGTAAGATAATACTGGTCTGTAATTGGTTAAATTGCTTACGACCTTACGGTTACGGCTAAAATTTTTTCACGTGTAATGGCCCTAACACTCGACGTTGATTTGTTAATTCTAAGGCCTGTTCTACAATACAGTCGTATAAGCTGTAAGTTGTAAGAAATTGGGTGTGTTTAGCCGAAGCTAGCGCTACGTAGCGCTACGTAGCGGCTTCATGTAGCAGTTGCAATTGCTGCGTTACTTCTGCTGGACAGTAT